ATAGTTGGATTTTGTTAGGGACGTTGTTGTGGCACTTGGATGGCGGCGGAATCGAAAACGCTTGGGGGGTGGGGCTGAGGGTGGAAGGGCGAGAGGGCGAGGGGGGTACTCGAATAGTTCGATTCAGCTACAGCAAGAGGAAGGACAGTCGTTCCGAATGAGCGTCAGGCGTTTTTCGACGAGGTCAAAGTCCCAGGACCCGGCAACGCTTATCCCGGGGAAGGGGGGGCATGAATCATCACAACATAATGGCAAACGAACGAAATATACGTGGGCTCTATATTACTCCTGGTGTTTATAATCATTTGGGTGTTGAAGTAGAAGGTCGAGAGCGAAAATAATCCGGTCCATGCAAAGCGCGCGGTCAGTGCAATGTGGCTCCTCAAGGAGCCTACAGCAGGAAGATGAAAAATAACCAATTGGCGAATGGAAATAAATGTACAACGCCAGGTATCCGATTGTGTAGCACATCGCTCCCGCATCGTCCGGCAGGACAGAGCAGCCCCCAACCAACGTCGGCAGACAAGCGAGAGAGCGCGCACACAAGAGAATGCGCCAACTCTTGATGAGACCCTGCGAGTTGAGCACATTATAGGCGAAGTCGTTCTGTTCGCGATGTTTTCGCGTTGCTTATGCTGCCTGTGCGCAGCAGACACCACTATGTTCTCGTGAAATCACAGCAGCCGAACGCTACATAGCGATGCGAAAAATGATGTCTGCTACATTACATTCCGCTCCAACTCCCAAGTGCTTGCAAATGGCGCGAGCACATATTAAAATGGCGCGAGCATGAGTGAGTGTCCGACGGAAAATACCACCCTCCCCCCCCCCCGCCACCCCTCCTCCCCTCCTCGATTTATCCACACGGCGAGAGACAGGGTCAGAGGATGAAAACTCACGTTAGACAACGTGCCCCAAGGGTATTTTGGTGTTGATTGAATCGCGGTAAACTATTGCCTAATGCGCACTCGAGATACTACCGGCGGCGCGTGCGCCACCAAAGGGGGAGGGGGGGAGGGGGGTGATATCTAGCGTTTCTGATGAAAGACCAATATTTCATGCGTCCCTATACAACCAAGCATCCACACTGGGTGACCGCAGGAGTAGATGGCATGAGCAGCAGCCTTGATTCGCACACTCCCAATTGGGGACACTACCAGCTGCGCACGAGATGCCCCGCAAAACAGAGCAAGCAAGGCTGTTCAATAGCCCAAACGCATATAAATATTGCACACCTTCGAGTCGTTGCGAGCGAAGACGATTCCGTGGCCGGGATAGATCCGGCTTGAGCAAAAGTAGCAGATCTCTATTCGTACCATCCTGTCCGCTCCTTCCTAGGCTGCAGCTGCAACCGCTGCTGCTTCCTCTTCCTTAGCTAGAAGTCCCACGCGCTTCCCTGGCTTGTCGTCCGCTATCTCTCTCTGCGTCTGTGCCCTGTGAGCTGTTGGTTTCCCCTGTCCGTGTGTTTGGTTTTGACCTGCTGAGTGGTGGCAGCAGCAGCCCCACAGCTGTGATCGTCAAGACAAAGGGTCTCTCCTTCTCTCGCTACCAACGACAGTCGCAGTCGTCGTCTTCTCCCCAAGGACGTTGACGACGGGAATGACCGGGAGGGCAAGAGTTAAAGCGGAGACAGAGAGGTGGTACGTGTTCAACCAAGGCTGGCTGCTGCTGCTGTGCTGCCGTCACAAGGCCACAGGCAAGCGAAGCTGAAAATGCGGCGAGATAGGAAGAGTTGAGTGTACCCCCCCCAGCAAAAGTACGATTGTTTTTAGGATCCAGGTAGGGGAGGGGAGGGTATGGGGTCTCCGCAAAATTATCCATACCCCAGCACCAAAACCTGTATCATGCGTCGTGACCCTAGCATGGGCATCTCCATCTCAGGCATCGAGCCACATATCCCACGCTCCGTGCACACCGCTTGCGGTGATCGAAGGAGGAAAGTCGAGGGCGTGTAGCTCCAGAGAGTTAGAGGAAAGAGTGGGGTTGCTCGTGACCGGCTGAGAGAGGCACCTCTCCGGTGCCTCAGGATCATTCCAGCCCCCCTGGCGTGTCTGCAACTGAGCGTCTCTCGCCCTCTTATTACAGAGCCCTCCCTCTCCCTTTTTATTCCTGCTAGTGGTAAGGACACTTACTACCAAGAGTTTGGGGAGGGGGAAGGGGCAAGCAGGGCTTGGGGATATCCTGGACAAACCTCGCGAATAAATTTTGCCTGCACAAATCCCGCTGTGATCCTGACTGCGTTGATCTTCGGGCAGCAGCACGGAGTAGTGGTGTCGCCAGAAACCTTGAGACGCAATCGAGCCAACCTTGCACCGGGAGACCGGCGAACAGAAGCGGGCGAAGCAAAGGTGAGACACAGACACCTTTTGGTCATCGCAGGGGCGTATAGGTGTGTGTCAGAGAGAAAGAACGCAGAAAGAGAGCCAGAAAGTCTTCCCTCGCCGATTTGTGCGCACGCTATGTACATCAGCTCTAAATACTACCGCTGAACTGGATTTCCGTATCTACATCTACATACTGTACCTACATCAGCGACCTATTGTCTGGGCGTGTCAATATTGTAGTGATGTGCAAAACAGCTCTCAGAGACAAACTTGCGGGCGCGTGACAATAGAGCCGCCTCGTAGACAGCGTATATTTTTTGCCCCGATTATGCTTTCGTAGATTCTGCAAAGGCGCCCTCTTGTTTTCTGCGTGCCCTCTGGGAATGGCTAAAAAAGGGCACGCGAGCGCGAGCGGGTTCGCACTGATCCGGCGGTTTGGCGGTGCATGCAAAAAGGAGCGGCTGGAAACTCACGCCCTTTCCTTCCACCGTCTGGCCTCTGATTACCTCCGAGTGCCGCGAGGCGCAGCGGCAGGATCCAGGAAGGGGGGGCTATTTCACGCAACGCTTTACTATAAGCGAGGGCTGTTATCGTAGCTCTTAAGATTTGCAACCTCTTGCTTCCCGCTGGCTTCGACCTGTAGACTATTTAGGTCTCGGTGAGTTGAACCTATGTACCTTGCGCTGGTTCCATCCCGCTGCCTATATTGCCGCTGAGAGCGGCTCCGCGGGTAGGCGAACACGGTTGAGCGGAACTGTCGGGACGATGGATGGTTGTCCACACCGTATAAGACGTAAACACACCCCGCCTGCTACAGAGACAAACACAACACGAGTTTAACAGCAGTAGGTAGGTTGCCCCCTCGCCCCCTTCTAACGAGTGGCACCTGTCAGGCTACACGTAGGCCACCAAACCGGTTACATAACGCGCCGTAGATTAGCACCCGCACTCAGGAACCTCTAGCGTTGGCGGAGGGTTACTGCAGTTTCTCTACAGCAGTAGTAGTCCCTCTTGTGGACTGCATGTAAACGGCCGCTACGTAGATGTGTGTAGGTCGTAGTGTACGGGTTCGGGCTCACAAATGCTGCTCCAAGTAAGTAGAGCACAATGTTCTTGAGTGCCAAGTTGTTCTTATGCGGGCGCTGTCTGTTTGCAGAGGCTCATGGTTTGGTAGTGCGAGAAACCCACGTACAGCAGTTGGCCCGGTTTAGCTACCCCCCTGTTTGTTGCGACATGCCCGGGACAACGACCATATCGAAATCGCGCGACAACACTGCAACTAAAATCGCCGCTAAATACCGGCAATAGAGGAGCGACCTACCCTGAAGAGCAACCACATCCCTTCCTTCCTGACACTCCTAGGGCTAGCAAAACGGGGCCCACCACCCACTGCTGCTGTACACCCCACTCGCACGTCTTTCGTACAGGTATGCCCTAAAGAGCGCTGCCACATCCCTTCCTGACACTCCCAGGGCACGCATAGCAGGGCCCACCGCTTACTGCTGTACTGGCACACCCCAATCGAACGCCTTTCGTCTCCAGGTGTATGCCTTCAAAAGGTACCCTATCCCTTCCCGCCACTAGGGCACGCAAGACGAGGCCCACCACCACTGCTGTACACCCCAACCTCCGCCTTTCGTCTCCCAGTATAAAGCGACCGGCCCTGAATAGCGCTTCCTGGCACCGGGGGTCGCTACACCGGGGCCCACCACTATTGCTGTACACATCAACCACACGCCTTTGCCCCCCCCCCCCCCCCTTCTCCTCGGCGGCCTCCCCCCCCGTCGGAGGCACTTCTGGGACGGGTGTCAGGCTCTTTGGTACCGTAGGTTGCGTAAGACATCACACCGCCTGGACCGATTTTCAAAGCCCGATATCTCGGCAGGGAAAGCAGAGACGGTGCCGAAAATGGCGGGAGGCGCTGGAACCGTCTCATCGAGAGTTTTTTTTCTACAACGTACCACTTCAATTTCGGCATCCTGTTAGTCGTGGAGTAATCAAGCGTTGAAAATCGGTCCAGGGGGTGCCAGGGAGCGTGATATCTCATGCAACCTACCGTAGTTCGGTTGAGGCTGGGCGTAGTGATGTTCAGTCGTGGCTTTTGTGGACATTTCAAGGTTAACATACACACGGGAGGGGCAAGGTGCACTGGTCTGTGTGCGGACTTTTTGGTGGGTTGTCCGGGGTTCTCGTCGAGGCAAGCACACATGCGCGCAAGGTGTCCTGGGCATTGATTCGATAGGAAAAAGCAAGCAAGAGAGAAAGAGAGACAGACATACGCACAGACACACAGACAGAGGGAGTGTGCGAGAGAGAGAGAACACCCGGAGATGATACCGGCGACAGAAGTACTGCGGCAACAGCAGCACTGCGGCTTTTGCCTCCTCGCTGCTGTGTTGTGTGCTTTCGCGTGTCTGCGGGGATGGCAAGGGTTTGTGGGAGCAAGAACAACTTGGTGGTTGCTGAGCTTGTCGTACAGTGGTTTGGTTTCAAGCGGGATGTTTTATCTGGGGGTCGTGACAAGCAACATCGCCGGGCATGAGCCTGTCGTGCTGCTTGTGAGGTCTCCCGCTGGCCCTGATTCTCTCTCTATATACATATATATATATGTATCCATTATCTATCTATCTATCTATCTCCATCCGTAACTCCGTTTATTCTTCTATGTTCTATGTTTCTTTCTCTCTCTGTCTCTCTTCCCCCCCCCCCTCTCTCCCCCCCTCTCTCGCTGTCTTTCTCCCTTCTCTCCACCCTCCCCCAACCCGTTATTCCCCATTCAACCTTTCCCTCTTCCCCCCCCCCCCCCTACCCCCTCCCCCCCTTTTTTTTTTTCCTTTTTTTTTCCCCCCAAAAAACCCCCCCACCCCCCCCCCCTTACAAACCCTTTCACCCCCACCTACAAACACCACCCCCCCCCCCCCCCCCCCCAAAACCTCCCCCTCCCCCACAACA